AAAAATAATAAGTTAATTATTATCGTTGTGGTTACCAGCTGGGCAGACCAGGAAAGGTTTCACTTGGAAGATGACATGAGTTGTTTTCAAGAATCAAGGGATCCTGAAAGGTGGAGGTGAAGAGGAAATGTATCCCACACAGAGGGGACGGCCAGGGCAAAGGCCCAGAGATGGGAGGCAGAGCAGGGTGTGTAAGAAATAGCAAGACTACTTGTTCGGGTGTGTACAAAGTAAGAAAGTGAAGGCTGCAGACCCAGTTGGGCTTGATTGTGAAGGGATCCAAGAGACCACAGTGAGTCACTGGAGCTTTTAGAGGAGGGGAGTGAGATGGTCAGACCTGGGCCTTGCGAAAATTCCTTTGGCAATTTAGTGACAGATCAGTTGGAGAGGGGAGAGCCTTTAGGCAGACACACTAAGTAGGAGGCTATTGCAGTAGTCCAGGAAAGAGCTAATGAGGGCCTGAGCTAGAGTGGTGGCCATGTGAATAGAGAAGGGCCTGGTTTCAAGAGAAACTCGGAAGGAGAATTAACAACATTTGACAACTTCTGGCTGTCTGGGGTGAGGGAACTTGAAAAGTTGAGAACGTACCAAGGTTGTGAAGAAGGTTGTGGTGCCTCAGTAGAGACAGGAAAGTGTAAAAGAGGGGTGTGTTTGAGGGAAATGAAAATGAGTGTTATTTTGGACATATTAATGATAACTGCCTGCATTTATATAGCACTTACTGTGTGTCAGGCACTGTGCTAAATACTTTATAAATATTCATCTCTTTTGATTCTTACAGCAACCTTGGGAGGTAGGTGCTATGGTTATGCCCATTTTGTAATTAAGAAAATTGAGACACGGCTGAGTTTCATCTTATTATTTCCATTTTGAAATGTCTAAAAGACAGTTGGTGAAGCAGGAGAGAAATCATCAGTATAAAGATGATAATTAAACCCAGGAGAGCTGATGAAGCAGAGAGAAAAAAAGAAGAGCCAGGACAGAGCCAACCCCAGTGCTTCACTGTGTTGTGTAGATGACCTTAGATTCTTTTCTATATTTTTAGCCCTAGGGCTCTTGAAGCTTTGCTAGGCCCTGTGAGGGCCCACAAAACTAGAAATTCTTCAGGTACCAGTCAGCTGACCACTTACCATGTACCAATCCCAGGGATGCTTAGAAGGTTAAAAATCCAGAATCTCATCCCATATAGGACCTCTAGAATTGAGTCTATCCTTTTGCCTCAAAACAGGGCTTACTTTAAACTGCCCACCTTAAGAAAGATATCTGTCTTTCAGCTTTAAAGCTCTCCTGGAAAAGAGACTTAATGGTCTTCTTTAGGCATCTATCCTCATTCCTATACCATCATCTACAATTAATTCAAAGCTGTATGTGGTACCATTAAGAATGGTGAAAAATGAGTTTATTTGGTTTCTGCATTAGCAAAGGGAAGTGTGGGCTCAGGAGAGAAGGGAAGTACAAGATTGAAGGGAGAAGGGAAGGGTTCATGTGAGGAAAGAGGGGGAGTGTAGAATTGACTGAAAAATCTTTCTGAATGATGGTAAAGTTTATTCCATCCAGTCTAGGTCTGTGTTGCTACCATCAATAGATCTCCAGATTACTCTCCCTTGTCTCCTAAGCTGTTCAGTACATGATTTAAAGTCTTCTCTCCCCTTGCCCTTGCCCCTTTCATAGGCCCTGGCCTCCTCTTTCCTCAACATCTTCAGATCTCAGGATCTCTTTCTCTAATCTATTTGGATCAGTCATTCATTGATACCTTAGCCTTTCCTCTTCCTTTTCTCCCCTTCCTACTTTACTGAATTTATCCTAGATGCCAGAATTCCTATTTATGGCTTTGGAGAACTCTGCTCTTCCCCCTCCACACTGTATCCCTGTCAGTGTTGGAGATTTGGGGATTCTCCCAGTCCTTACATGCAGTCCACAAGGACTCTCCACTTGGCTTCTCTCACAGTTAAGTGATATTTTCTTCACTGTGGAAGAGATAAGTCCAGCCTTAAGGAATCCTATCCTCTCACACCAGCTTTCATTCCAGTTTGCTCTTGGGCCCAGAATCTCTTACTGATAACTGGATGGCTCCTTCTTCCTACTGTTCCTCCAGCCTCACAGCCATTTCTAATTTTCTTCCCACATCAGAAATCATACCTAGTTTTCTTTGTCTTCAATATGTAGAGAAAGGGAGACTGGATGGGGAAAGCTGAGTCAGTCTTCCTACCCTGCCTGCTCCCCCTTCCCATTCCACGACCCTACTACCTACATGTTAGTTCCTAGGGGACTATAAACATGAAGGATATATGTCCCTTGCCTTTGTTTAATAGGAACAGCAAGACACGGATATATACAAATAAGGCATAATAAATGAAATACAAAAATGAAATGTTCAATGAAATACTAAGTGTTGGTTCAGCAGAAGGACAAATTTGATTAGGTCCAGGGGACCAGGAAAAGATTAATTTTTTAAAATTTATTTTTAATTTATAGAATAAAACAAGCATTTCCATAATGTAGCAGGATAAAAAAGATGATTACACATGAAACTGCAGATCTATTATATACAACTTGTTATTCCTTTTAAATATGTAATAAAGTTACCATGTACATTTTTTCCTTTTTTCATCCCTTCCCCCATCCTAGAGATGGCTACCATTAGACACAAATATGTATGTGTGTGTGTGTGTGTGTGTGTGTGTTGTGTGTGTAGGTAAAATAATTCTATACATATTTCTATTTATCAGTTCTTTCTCTGGATTCAGATAATGTCTTCTTTCATATGTCCTTTGTAATTAATTTGGATATTTGTAACAGTCAAAATGATTTGGCCAAATAGTCCAACCTATATTTTTAAAAATATTTTTAAATTATTTATTTAACATCTTATTTTTCCATAATTATATGTAAAAACAATTTTTAACATTTGTTTTCAAAATTTTGAGTTCCAAATTCTCTCCCTCCCTCCCCAAACCACTCACTGAGCAGGCAAGCAATTTGATATAGGTTATACATGTATAGTCATGCAAAACATATTTCCATATTAGTCATCCAAACTATATTTAAAAAGAACTCACTGCTACAAAATGCCCACCAAGTGGTCATTCAGCCTCTGCTTGCAGACCTCCAGTGGGGAGAAATCCAGAGCCTTCTGAACCAGCCCCTTCCACTTATGGGCAACTCAATTATGAGGATGCACTTAACTGAAATCAAGATTAAACCACTTAACCTCCTCCTTTGCCACTTCCACCCAGTGTTCCTGATACTACCTACTAAGGTCAAACAGAATTAATCTCAATTCTCTTACATTGACTGCTCATCAAACACCTAAAGACAGCTATTATGTTCTTTCCCGAGTCTTCTCCACTTCTGGCTAAATACCTTCCGTTCCTTCAACCAATCCCCATACAGGATGGACTCAAGATCCACAATATAAGGTTTCAGTTTCTACTTCTGAATGGCAAGAGTAACCTGAGATGTGAATCTAGTCCGGGAAGCACTAGGAATATCTCTTAAACTGAAAGTTATAGTTCTTGCTATCATTTCTACAGTCTTTGAATCATAGTAATATTATAATAGTAGTAACAGTCAGAAAGGGTTTTGGAGCATATTGAAGCCAATGCTTCATGCTGTATATTCCATCTGAAGCCAACTCAACTGCCAGTCTCAAGAATCACTTCCTGCTATACCCTTTGACCCAGAAATACCACTACTAGGTCTATTTCTGAAAGTGATTAGGGAAAAAGGAAAAGAACCTATGTGTTCTAAAATATTTATAGCAGCTCTCTTTATGGTGGCAAAGAACTAGAAATTGAGGGGATGTCCATCAATTGGAGAATGGCTGAACAAGTTGTATATGATTGTGGTAGAATACCTCTGTGCTACAAGAAATGATGAGCTTGATGGTCTTAAAAAAACATGGGTAGACTTGCATGAAATAACAGTTATATTGTTTTAAGAACAACTTTGAGTGACCAAGTCATTTTGACTGTTACAAATGCCCAAATTAATTACAAAGGACATATGAAAGAAGACATTATCTGAATCCAGAGAAAGAACTGATAGATAGAAATATGTATAGAATTATTTTACTCACGCGCACACGCACACACATATACATATTTGTGTCTAATGGTAGCCATCTCGAGGATGGGGGAGGGGAAGACAAAAGGAAAAAAAATGCACATGGTAACTTTATTATATATTTAAAAGGAATAAAAGGATTCTGCTCACTTCACTCTGCATCAGTTCATACAAGTCTTTCAAGGCTTCTCTGAAAACCATCGCCTTCATCATTTCTTACAGCACAATAGGACTTCATTACATTCCTATACCATGATTTGTTCAGAACTGGGAACAGTTCTTTCTCCTGTATATTTTTTTAAAATTCCATTAATGCTTTTATTGTTCTTTTCTTCTGTATCTCTATCATTCCTTGCCCTATAACACCTCCCCCCTCCACAGACACCACCACCATCACAAAATAAGACATCCTTTATAACAAGTATAGGCAAAGGTTGTTTTGTTTTTCTTTTACAAAGCATTTGCACGTGCAGTTTCTTTGTTGTTTTTCTTTATATTTAGTTTTCAACATTACTTTTATAAGAATTTGAGTTGTCAATTTTTCCTCATTCCTCCCCTCCCCTCTGTCCAAGACGGCATGCAATCTGATATAGGCTATACATGTACAATCATATTAAACATATTTCCGCATTAGTCATGTTGGTGAAAGAAGAATCAGAATAAAAGAGAAAAACTATGAGAAAGAAAAAACAAAAAAAGAGAGAGAAAATAGGACCTGCATTAAGACTCCGTAGTTCTTTCTGTGAACCACATGCATTTTCTTGTCTGATCAGGCCAATGAGCTCCATTTCAGGAGTATATTGCTTAAGTCACTCTAGGACAAGAATAGGAATACAAGTCTAGTGTTGTATTCATGGTTCTGGGCAGCCACTCTATATTCTCATATGCCAAGTTACAGCTTCATTAATACCTGATCTTATGTTTGTTCTTTTAAGATTCATACCGGTTTGCAGCATCAAATAATCTGGCCCTGTCAACCAAGCTGCATACCCCTTGATGAAAAGCTGCTGCCTGAACTTCTCCAGGAGGCTGGATATGTCACCCATATGGTTGGAAAGTGGCACCTGGGCATGTTCCGAAAAGAATGTCTTCCAACACGCAGAGGATTCAATACATTCTTTGGTAATGGAAATCTGCATGGCTCTTTACAGTTTGGTCCAACTATAGCCCTGTAAATAACACACTCGACTCAAATCAGATGAAATAACTGGAAATGTCAGTGCTGAGTGAATCAGTCTTTATTATGCTATCCATAAACAAATTCCTGCATTGGCCGCGTCCAAAAAATGTATATCTCGTTCTATACCCTGAATCCCACATCTCTCTGTTAGGAGGTGGGTGGCATGTTTCATCATGGGTCTTCTGGAATCATGGCTGGTCATCATGTGAGTCAGTGATCTAAAATCTTTTCCCCCTGGTGGACTTCTCCCCATCTGGGTAATCTTTTGCTTTCAAAGTAAATAGAATTTCTTTCCCTGGGTAAGGTAGAGGAGAAATACTCAAAAGTTTCCTATGAATGGCAGGGATGTTTACAAAGACAGTCCTTTTTGGAAGTGTTAGAAATAGGCTTGACACCAAAAATTTAGTATCAAGAAAATTTATTATAAAGAAAGTCCGGAGGATTTAGACGTTTCTGGCCAGAAGCAGGCTCCACCCCTCTTCAGGAGGGGTGGGCCCTGAGTGCAAGGGCAAGTGTGCTTTTATGCAGTTGAATTCGGGTGCGAAACCTCCCATGCCTGGATTGGTCCATCCCTTCCCAGGTTACGCCTTTCCTTCCATGTTTCCCCTTGATATGCTCAAGTATGTTCCCCCTCCCTTGGTCACACGTCCCATGACTCGTTAATGAGGCTCTAATTTTATGCAGGGTGTGTCAGATAATAGTAATGAAGCTCATTAAGCAGGTGCACTAACATTTTTCAGGTGTCCTCAGGTTGACCCTAACTGGTCTGAGCTGGCTTGATCCTTATCTTGATTTTGGGGTCTTTATGGAACCATCAACTTACTTTTTATTGGCTAAGCCCGAGCCCACCTACAGTGTACTACTTCCTGGAGCTGTTGTTCTTTAAATCTCTGCATTATTCTACCTGTGGAAACATAAGCCCTTCTAACTCTAACAGAGGGTAGTGTAAGCAAATGGGAAGAACATTGGATTTGGAGACAGAAGACCTGGGTTTGAATCCTGGCTTTGCTACTTACTGCCTCAGTAATCTTGGGCAAGTGAGTTTCTTCCCCTTTGGGCATCAGTTTCCTCATCTGAGAAATGAAGGGGTTGGTCTAGATCAGGAGCCCTTAACCTAGGATCCATTAAATTTAAAAAATTTGTCTCCTTTGTTAATTGCATATCAGTATAATTGATTTCCTTTATAATCTTATGCATTTTCTTTTATGCTTTTAAAAACATTCTTAGGAATCCATAGGCTTCACTGGACTGCCATAGGGGTCCACAACATAAAAAAAAGGTTAAGAACTGGTATGGACCACTTTTAGAGTCCCTTCTAATTCTGAATCCATGATTGTATGAAATGACCTAAATAGAAATGGCCTAATAGTCCTGTAATAGTAAATTTATATTAAAATCTTAATTGTGTTTAAATTTTTAAAAATCTTTTTTTCAGTACCTTATTGTTAGGGAGAACTAATCAGGTTTACATTTCCTCCTCTGCAATGTTTCCATAATACTCTAAATATTCCTGCCATATGGCTAGCATTATTATTATGTGTTGACTGTTATGGTTTTTTTTTTTAAAGTCAGGGATTGAATTGTTCAAAAACATTTTTTATGTTTCCAAAAAAGGCACAGGTAACAACATACTTTTAGGGGCTGATGGCTTTCAGAATATAAATTCGTGTTTGTAAATCACTGTAAAGATAAAAAGCTCTGTATGCTCATAATAATAATTATTATTTTATTACTTGAAATCAGTTTGGCGGTTAAGCTATTTGTAAATTAATGGAGCGGCACAAAGAAATGTGTGAACAAATAGCTGTCATTTCTCTGGTCCTCTTATTTATTGGATCTTTTCAATATTAATATTTGGCACATATATAACATCTTTGTACCAGACCTCTCATCTGGATAGATTCCCCCAGATGATAATCCCATTGTCTGAAGTTTACAGGTGGACAAGCTGAAGTGAGTTCCACAAGGTCACATAATAAATCATTGGTACAGCACAGAAATAGAATACTCCTCCCTATCCTCCCATCCCTCCCCCACCCCCTGCAAGTCTTCTAACACCTGATCCACCCCCAACAAATACAATATGATTTTTATAAGAACTTTGCTTCCTTCAATGCAAATCAAGTCATTTAAAGCAAATGCTTCAGGTTTCTAGTGCTTTGACATATGAAGGAATGATTGGGGGGTGTATGTATTTTTTTTAAGCACAATATTTTGAGAACTTTGCGCAGTTCCTTTTTTTCCCTTTATTTTAGCTTTAAATTTTTTTTTTTTACTTTGCCTCATTATGCCTCTCTGATATTGTTCAACACAAAAACCATTTAGCCAGAGAACAAAGCATTTGTTAACATGAGGGGCCTCTGATTTGATGAATCATGGAGGATGGGGAACTGTTTGAAAAGAATCACAGGAAGAGTTGTTGAGCTGGAAAGCCCCTAAGAGGACATCTAAACCATCCCCTTTGCTTTACAGATAAGAGAACTAAGGTGCAGAGATATGTTGAGAGACTTGCTTAGTATCCTTTTGTTTTTATGATCATGTGGGAGGTTCTTACTGTAGAAAGTGGGAATTTGGAACTGGGGAGAAGGCTCTTTCTATTACCCTTATCTTCAGGGGGCTTTGCCATGATCTGCCTGTAGATGGCGCCTGTAATAAAGAACAAGGTTGTCCATTTTACTGTTGTAAGAGGAGGTTGTAAATGTTCATTTACAGAATTATTGAAAGAGGGTACCCATTTCTCTTCCCATTTCTTAGCCCCGCACATGGGGCAGTCAGGCAGGCAGGCAGTTGATATCTGACTCCCTGGATGAATTTAAATATATGAAAAGTCTAATTTAGATACAGCTTTGGAGTTAGTTTTATGAGTATTCTACATAATGGCCAGGGGGCCTTATTAGGAAAGATTTGTGTCTTTCACCACCTGGTGTCAGCATCCGACTAGGGATGACTCGGCTGCTCCTGGGAAGCCAGTACCACAGACAGTCTGAGGATATCAGGAACAAAACCATTTCATGTGCCTCTTCCAAATAAAGCCAGATGTCTAGATCATGCCAACCCTAGCTGTTCACTGAGCTTCCTTCTAACTTTAGAAGTCTAAGCCATCATTCCCTTTACTTCATGTGATCTCTGAGCTGTTTTTATGTATTTTACTGATATCACTTGCCTTATAAAACAGCTAAGCTACTGTTTTCCAGATCTTGCTGAGGTCATAGGTTAGACTGGGACCACAAATGAAATTTTTATGCTTTATAGTATCAAATATAGAGATGTTAAAGAATCTTGCTCTCATTAGCCTTGTCATCTGATTAGCCTTGTCATGGGTAATCAGTTGCATTAGGTGATTAGATGCTGAAACATTCGTTTGTATAATGAGTCTTATGCTGTGCTGACTGCTTTCATCTTCCATTCTTATTGCAGGGTATCTCCTAGGTAGTGAAGATTACTACTCCCATAAACGCTGTGTATACATTGATGCCCTGAATGTCACCCGGTGTGCTCTTGATTTTAGGGATGGAGAAGATGTTGCAGAAGGATACAAAAATATATATTCAACAAATATATTTACGCAAAGAGCTATAGATCTTATTGCTAACCATCCGGCTCAGAAGGTATGTTCTTTCTTCTTTTTCTTTCTTTCTTTCTTCCTTCCTTTCTTTCGTTATTCTTTTCTCTCTTTCTTTCCTTTCTACCCTTACTTCTCTCCTTTTCTTCCTGCCTCCCTTCCTCTCTCACTCTTTCCCTTTTTCCCTGCCTCCTTTCCTCTCTCCTTACCTCCCATTGTCCCTTCCTTCCTTCCTTTCTTCCCCCTTCCTCTTTTCCTCTCTTCCTTCCCTCTTCACTCCCTTCCTTCCTAGAAAACTGTTTATTGCATGTGTTACAAGGTAACTAGATGTGGATTAGAAGATTCTACTTTGAATGGCAACAGCCAAAGTATTTGAATCAGGAGCAGGTCAGCCCTAGTTGGTCTAGATGAGTGTCTTCATCATGGTCACATGATATCATACATCTTCTTTAAGACCTGCTTGATCTGATGCTTCTTGGCCTTGACATCCATAATACCTACCATGGTGCCGTTGTCCTTAGTCCTCTTCATAAGTGGCAGATTGGTCACAGGGAACTTGATGGCATAATGATCAAGCTTGCTCCTCCTAGGGACACTCTCCTGAGAGTATGTGAAGTTGAGCTGCCTATTAAATTAAAGTGCATTGAGTCACTAAAAGGTAGAGGACATTTGGATCATGTTCTTTTGGGTCACCCTTCAACAATGCTTTATTTTGTTTAGAGGAAGATAATTTTCTTTTTTAACCTTTGATGTTATCTTGTAGGAAAGGGCTCATTGTTTCTTTACAAATAATGAGAAACCAAGCTAGGTGGTACAGTGGATAGGGCGGTGGGCCTGAAGTCTGGAAGATCTGAGTTCAAATCTGACCACACACACTTATTATCTATGTGACCTCGTGTAAGTCACTTAACCTCTGTCTGCCTTGACTGTAAAAAAAAAAAGTAGAGTAATAGCACCTATCTCCCAGAGTTGTTGTGAGGATTGAATGAGATAATAAATTGTTAAGTGCTTGGCAGAATACCTGGCACACAGTAGGAGCTATGTAAATACTAGCTATTATTATTACTATTATCATTCTAGATCATAGAATCACAGATTTAGAGCTGGAAGAGACTTTAGAGGTCATCTGATTCAACCTCCTTCATTTTAGACTTTCAGAAGCAAAGGCAAAGAGAGGTCAGGTGATTTGTCTCAAGTGATTGGTCTCAAATTGCTCTGCACTTCAGACTATCTTACACATTGCTGTCAAGATAATTTTCCTTAAACACAGATATGACCATGTTATTCCCCTACTCAGCCAACTCCAGTGGCTTCTTTTCACCTAAAAGATAAAATATAAATTCTTGTATTTAGCTTTTTAAGTCCTGCACAATCTGGCCCTAAACTAGATTTCCAGTTTCACGGGATATTACTCTCCCTCCACCACCATTTGATTCAGCCAAAATGACCTCTGTTCTTCACACAGAGCACTCCATCTGTTAACTTTGTGCTTTTTCTTCGGCCTCCCATGTGCCTGGAAGGTACTCCCTCCTTTCTTCTATCTCACAGAGTCCATCTCTTCCTTTGTTGTAGTTGTTTTTTATCCTTCGTTTTCAAAGAAGACCGATGACATCACAAGGTGATGTTTTGGCTTGTGTGTGAATTGGATTTAAATGAGACACATTGTGCAAAGTCATTGAACTCGAGTACTATCTTCTATAACAAGCCTTTTCTCATTCTCCCAACTCTTAGTTCCCTCTCTCCAAAGCTACCTTGTATTTAACTACTTTGTATAGACTTGCATTTCTTCACCTTATATTTATGCTGCATTATTTTTACATGTATTTGTTTCCCCCATTATAAGGTAAGTTCCTTTTGAGTAGGAATTGTTTCTTTTTATTTTTTGTTTTTTGGCAAGGCAATGGGGTTAAATGACTTGCCCAGAGTCACACAGCTAGTAAGTGAATTGTGTCTGAGACCACATTTGAACTCAGGTCCTCCTGAATCCAGGGCCAGTGCTCTATCCACTGTACCACCTAGCTGCCCTAGAAATTGTTTCTTTCCTTGTACTTTATTTCCAGCACCTAGGGCAGTGTTTGGAGCACAGGAGGCGCTTAATAAATATTTGTCAGTGGATTGATTGGCTGCCCAAGGATACACATGCAGTAAGGTACAAGCTTTGCTCATTCAGAACAACTTTAGGGGAAGGCCAGTATAAACATATGAACATTATGGACCATGGAATGTTTAAGAAGAAACCTAGTTTTATTACTTTCATGTATATGTATGTGTGCATGTCTCTCTATACTTGTATAGATACATACATATACACACATAAGCGTCTATATCTTTGTGTAAAAGCATGATTAGAAAATTAATGCAAATAGTTGAAAATAATTTATTCTCTTAAATAGGCTTAGAATTTCTCCTATAATCTTTTTTAACATTATGAATTTGTTATGTTAGGCCTTTTTTTTCAAAGATGGTACAAAAGTAAATTTACTTTCATGAGAGAAATGCCTCAGTCTAACCTAGAGCTCAAATTTTCATAGATTCTGAATTCACCAAAATAAAAATGAATGAGGCTAGACTGTGTGTAAGTTAACTTTTCTGACATATAATTTATTTAAAATGTTGGCTTTATATTATAGACAATGCCCAAATCAGTCTTGTAACTGTTTTTATTTTGTTCCAAGCTCCTCAGAAAACACATTGTTGTAATTTTTCATTAGATGTGTGGATAATGTGGTAATAGAAATATATGGGGAAAAAAAAGAAATATATGACATACGAATAAAGAACTGGAGGTAGAAGGGACAGTAGAGGCCATCTAGGCCAAGCTTCTCATTTTATGGATGAGGAAAATGTGCTCCAAGACTTGCCCAAAGTCATATATTCTGTTGATCTCACATCTTCAGCTGTGTGTGAGTCATCTTGAACTGAATGCCCTCTAGACATCTTAAACTCACCATCTCCAAAGCACAACTCCTTATCTTTCCCCCTAACTCCCCTCCTTGCACTTTCCCTTTTACTATAGAGGGCAGCACCATCCTCTCAGTCCCTCAGACTCACAATCTAGGGGTCACCTGGACATCTTGCCCTATATCCAAGTTGTTTCCAAGGCCTGTCAATTTCACCTTTGCATCATCTCTCATCCCCTTCTCTCCTCTGACACTCCGCACCACTCTCGTACAGGCCTTCATCACCTATACCTGGATTACTGCAATATAACCCCATATCTGCAGTGTCTGGCACCATTATGGTGTTCCCCCAAATCAGAGAGGGGGGAAACAGCTGTATAAGGAGATATAAACTGGCTTAGGTCAGAAATAGAGCAGGTCAAAGTTTCTATGCCCATCAACTGTGGGATCAGGCCTGTGAATGGCAGCTGTACTTCCAGCCTAGGAGAGAGAGGGAGACTGAGTCTTAAAAAAAATGAACCCAAGTCCTCTGACTTCAAATCTGGAGATTTTCCTATTACATTGTATAATCCATTCATTAGCTATATGGCCTGAGACAAGTCATGTAACTTCTCTGAACTTGTTTATTTTTCTGTCTATAATATCTATGATAACTATCTTCCTTGTTTATTGTGAGGCTGAGATGAGATCATGCCTATAAAATGTTTTGTAAACTTTAAAGGGCAATGTAAATATTATTCATTATTTAAGATTTACAAAACACTTTTTCACAACAATTCTGTGAGATATGTAATGTAACCACTTTTATTATTCCATCTTACTTATAAGGGAGTTGGTCTTTCTCAGATCTGAGCACAGAAAAATATTAAACCAACTGCAAAAATGAGGCCACACTGGGTGATCTCTTTATGAGGCATAAATTAGTCCCTCTGTGAATCAGAAGGGAAGCAACATGATAGGAAAAAGGACAGGTTGTGCTTCTAGACAAACTTTAATAGTCACTTAGTCCAGGAGACAGACTTGAAGAGGGACCTAGATCCTGATGTGAGAGGGAGAAGATACAGGGAACTAGAGAAGGGGGAGCTCTGAGAAGCCACCTGGATCTGGAAGAGTGTAGACAGAGGTAATCACAACAAAGAAAGGGCTCCAGGGCTCTGGGAGTGGGGCTACTTGGGGGCCCTTTAAACACAAGGCATGTCAGAACATAAGCTATGTTGGTAAAATTCCCCAGACTACAGACCCTCAAGGAAGTAGTCCTGTGTCTCCTCTCCCCCTTAAACTCCTTCATGGTCAGTCAACTAGTCAGTCAGCCAGTAAGCATTTATTAAGCACCTGCTGTGTGCCAGGTACTGTGCTAAGTGCTAGGGATACAAAGAAAGAAAGAAAAATTCAAAAGATAATTCCTGCCCTCAGGGAGCTCACAATCTCATGGGAGAGACAAGAAACAAATAAATATGTACCAACAAGCTATATATAGGATAAATAGGAAATAACAGGGAAGATGCTAGAATTAAGAGGGATTGAGAAAACCCTCCTGTAAAAAGGTAGGACAGGACGTGTCTTGCCTGTAAACTGTGTTATTCTGGAGAAATTACTTAATTTTTCAATGCATCAAACAACCCTCTAAGACTAGAAATTGCTGAGGTGGAAGGATTTCCTCTCTCTGTTCCCTAGATGAAATGAGAGATCAGTGGAGAGAGAAGACGAAAGAATGGCAGGGAGGAGTTTATACGTGTATCAGCTAGTGTTAGGGACAAGCCCGACAATGGCATCTGTTAGTTCTGATTCAATGTTGGGACAAAAGGAGGCACCTGTAAGTCATGGAATAGTTAACAAAAGGAATTTTACTTTTCCTTAATGTAGCAAGAACAGGCAACAAGGATGCAGTGGCACGTCTATCGATTGTATTGCCCATGTCTCCTTACTGAGAAGTATCTGTTCAGAAGGCCAGGGTGTGATGATTCATGGGGTCTTCAGGCAGCCACCAGGTCATAGGGACCCCAGTGCCATGTGGGTTGGGCTTCATATCCCCCTATGTAAACCAGGAATCCACTCAACACAGCCAGAGGCCACCAAAGCCATGTCAGGGGAGGCCCAGCTTGAGCCATGTTTTCCCCTCCCCTTCCCCCAAGAATGTCTTTGTTTCCTTTACCTAAACCCACGTTAGGAAGTAGGAGCCCTGGTAGATATTGATTCTAATACAGCTAGTATTGGGGGGGGGAGCTTTATTTGTTTAGATATGAATAATTTATATGAATTTATATAAATTCAGAGGGAGAAATATAGGGTAGTGGTAATAATCCAGTGGACAGCTAAGTGGCTAGGTGGATAGAGCGCCAGGCCTGGAGTCAGGAAGACTCATCTTCCTGAGTTCAAATCCGGCTTAGACACTTAATAGCTGTGTGACTCTGGGCATGTCACCTAACCCTGTTTGCCTCAGTTTCCTCATCTGTCATATGAACTGGAGAAGAAAATGGCAAACTACTCAAGTCTCTTTGCCAAGAAAATCCCAAATGGGTTCACTTAGTTGAACACCACTGAAAAAATGACTGAACAACCAAATCCAGTGAATTAGACTAGTAAGTCACCTTATAAGTTTCTGACACTAATTTTCTATGTAGCTTAAGTGCCTGATTTCTTCAGTGGAAGAATGAGGTTCATACTTTGAAATCTTTCAGATTTTGAAGTCTTTGCCTGAAAGAGTTTTATTAGCCCAGTAGGCAAAAGGTTCTACTGGAGCACAATGAATATGGTGACAGGTAAGAGTTACATTAGAAGGTGAGGAGAAAGGAAGATGAAGGCACAGCTGATTTAGAACACTACTAAGATTAGTGTGAAATGGAAAGAAAGAGTCAATTTATTAATTTATTTCTCAGCTCTCAGGAATCAAATTGGTAGAACATTTGATGCAAACTATTGAAATTCATATATTCATTTTCTCATATGATAGGGTAGTAGAGAAAGCCAAACTCCTGCTTCCAAAGTAGACAGCTAATTCTGATGCTTACAGCAATATGGGAAAACAGTCTGATTGGGAGTTAGGGTTGGGATTGGGGAGAGGAGAAGGTGGAGAGATGGCAATTATTACTCTAATTAGTTGATAAATGCAGGTCTGCTTACTCGGTGACATTTCCCACTTGGCTGCTCTCTTAACAGATTGGTATAATTCTTTTCCAGCCTCTGTTTCTGTACCTCGCCCTACAGTCTGTCCATGAGCCCCTTCAGGTCCCTGAGGAATATCTGCAGCTATATGACTTTATCCAAGATGAGAAGAGGCGTCTTTATGCAGGAATGGTGACCCTTATGGATGAAGCTGTGGGAAATGTCACGAGAGCCCTGAACAAGTATGGGATGTGGAATAACACAGTGTTCATCTTTTCCACAGGTAAGTCTGTCTGATATAAAATCATCTTCATCCAGAAGCCAGGACGTAGCGTTCAATAAAGTGAATGAAGACAAAGTGGAACATTTAGTGGTTCCTTATTAAAATAGATTTCAACTGCAATGGTAGAGGCATGATAGCAAAAGATAGAAAGATGTTCCTGAAGAAGGAAACAGAATTATTTTTTTCCTCTTTCAGATGTCAGGATGTTTTGACATGTTCTTGAAAGAAAAGGAAGATAATTCTACCTGGCTATACATAAATTAATGATGTTTATATAATTATATATGCACATGCATATGTGTATGTTTTTTTACTTTTTAAAAGTTTGCAAAGTACTTTATGTACACTATCTTGTTACAACCCTGTGAGTTAGGTTTTGCCGCTATTGTTATCCCTATTTTACAGGTAAGGAAACTGTGACTCATTGTGCTTGAGTGATTTTCTCTTGGTCACACAGCTAATAAGAATCAGAGGAAAAATTTGAACCCAGGTGTTGTCTATCCACTATGTGATACTACTACCTTAGTGTGACTAGGCACTGTTTGGATTTAGCTGTGTAATTAATTAGTGCATGGTGAGGCATATTCTCATTTCTTTTTATAGCCTTTGTGTTTTCTGTGGTCTTCAGTTGACCAAAAGGAAACATGGTACAAAAAGAAGGATGTATAAAATTGCAGAGAAAGGGGAGGAAATAGGTCCTTTTATCCTGACTCAGTCTACTTCTATTACTTATTAGATGGAGCCAGTGTATATACACTTTGGGCTGTGATATGAAAAATCATCAGGAACACATATTTGTTGACATTTTAATGAGGGTCTTTGTTTCTGCCTGGCTGAGACCTAGATATAATCTCAAATGAGCTAGAGGCTGAAATCTTTGTGGTTTGCTGATGTTAGGAAGCCATACAATTCTAATAAAAGAAGGGCCAAAGTCAAGTTCTATACTCTAATGGATTCTTGACTTGTTCGGTGTGGGGAATCCCATCATCAATGCAGACTAACGATCTCTATGTACAGAAAGGGAGTGTCAAGATAACAGCTATTATTAAGTGTCTGCTGTGTGCAATGCCTTGTGTTAAGCACTAGAGATGCAAAGAAAGGAAAAAGAAAAAACAAAAAACTGGCCTCTGCTAGGAGCTCACAATCTATTGAGGGAGATAGCATGCAAACAGCTATGTACAAACAAGATAGAGTGGTGTAACTTGGAGGTAATCAACAAAGGGAAGCCACTAGTAACAAGGGGGGCCAGGAAAGGCTTTGTGCAGAAGGTGGGATTTTAGCTGAAACTTGACAGAGTCTAGGGAAGCTGGGAGGCTGAGAGGAGGAGGGAGAGAATTCCAGGCATGGGGGACAGCCAGCCAGTGAATGGAGCTGGGAGAATAGGGTGTTTTGTTCAAGGAAAAATAAGGAAGCCAGTGATGCTGGATTGTACAGTACATGAAAGGGAGTAAGCTGTAAGCCTGGAGAAGCAGAGGAGGGCCAGGTTATGCAGGGCTTTAAAAGCCAGATAGAGAATTCTATATTTGACCCAACAGGTAATAGGGAACCAGTGGAGTTATTGCATGGAAGATGACATGGTCAGAGCTGCATGTTAGGAAAATCGCTTTAACAGATGAGTGGAGGATGTACTAGGCTGGGGAGAGACTTGAGGCAGGGCCACCAAGCAGAAAACTATCAGTCCACATGTGTAGTGATGACAGCCTGTCAGAGTGGTAGGAGATGGTAGTGTGAGAGGTGATCGGGGGAACACATGAGATATGTGCAAACATAGAAAGACAGGACTTAGCAACTGATTGGATATGGAGGATGAGAGAGAGTGAAGAATAAATGAGGACATCTGGATAATGAGCCTGGATGACTGGCAGGATAGTGGTCCCTTCCATAGTCATAGGGAAGTTAGGAAGAGGGGAGGTGATGAGGAGAAATATCATCTGCATAGAGATGGTAATTGAATCAATGGGAGCTGATGAGATCACCAAATGAAATAGTATAGAGGGAAAAGAAGGTCCAAGATAGGGCCTTGAGGAATGCACAGAAGTGGTTAGTGGTCACAGATGAGATTAAGAATCACACATTTTAGACCATATGCAAGCATTGGTTCAATTGCTGGTATTCAAAAGTCGGGGCAGGTAAGTGGTACATTGGATGGAGGCCTATAATCGAGAAGACTCATCACCTTTGTGAGTTCAAATCTGGCCTCAGACACTTACTAACTATGTGACCCAGGGTAAGTCACTTCATCCTGTTTGCTTGTTTCTTCATCTGTCAAATGAGCTGGAGAAGGAAATGGCACACCACTCCAGTGTCTTTGCCAAGAAAACCCCAAATGAAAGTCCGACATGACTGAAAACGACTGAATACACAATGCACTCTCGAAAGTTATGATATTTATCCCTAAACCAATGAGACAGATTCTGACCCTCTGTATACCAAAGAGGGCTAACAGCTCAATCCGTAAGTGACTAGTGCTTATGTCCAGAGTTATCACTGGAAGGCCTGAGCCAAGAATGTTGAGGAGAAGGCAGTAAAATGGGGTGTTTGAAAAATTTATGGAATGTTACAGGATAATGATCCTGGTCATCTTTATAAAGTGAGCATGTATTTTTAATAGCAATTTTCCAAAATAATCAGTTTCACTTGCACTTAGATAAGGCTGTCAGGAGAAGCTAAGGTTGCAGTTCTTTCCAGGATGATTTTTACTATGTTAATTGACAATTTAAGCCACCTGAGGTGGAATTAATACTGTGATTGAAATCCAGAGTGATTAGCCCTGCTCGATTTGGCGAATTGTAGGAAAAGAGATTCATTTTTTCCAGCCTTCTTAGTCTGTTTCAGGCAGATTTTCTTTACAGGCATAGAAACACTGTTTATGTTGGAGGCCCAGTTTCCAAACAAACAAATGTTGAAACCATTATGTACAGAAAACCGTGGAATATATTCTGCTTCTTCGTGTCGTGCTCACATTTTGTGGAAGGAAGAGGCAAAAGGGGTGGAGGAGAGGAGTGTTTGCAGGGGAATATTTTGGGAGACTGTGTGATGTCCCATTGGATTATTTTTTTCCCATGGATACCCTGGGCCCTCCTCTGACTTCTTCCACCCTCTAGCCTCTGGGGGCCTGAGGTGGCCAGTGCTGAAAGTATGAGAAAGGGATACTTAATGAGGATTTGGGCATCCAGAAGTAAATTTGATTTAAAGCCCAATCTCTTGCCTGCAAATGGGGAATTCCTAAACTTCCCATTTCAGTTGGGGGAGGTCTCTCTGCGCATCCTTTTGTGTGTGGGTGGGGGAATTGGAGGGGGGGTAGGGGCAGAGTGAGACTGAACCTATGGATTTCATGGATGGAATGAATTTCCAAGAAGAAAACTCCCTCTACCAACAATGCCTAGGGCACTGAAAAATTCAGATGACTTCTTCAAGATCACACGGCCAAAAGTATTGTGTCAAAGTTAGGACTTGAACTCAGCCCTTCCTAGGTCTGAGGTTGGATCTCTGCACTCTATGACATGCTGCTTGATGATGTGCTCATTTCAGGCAATAGGCAAAAAGAAGCCCAGGAAACTTGGCTGTCTTGCTTCCGCCTCTCCATTACAAACCGACAAGCCTGAGAAATATCACTCTGACAGACAAATGACAATGAACAGATTCAGTCACTATTGCTTGTTGTTAGAGGCCTGTCAGTACAAATATAATATACCGTCTTTAGCAGAGACGACACTCAGGACTTGCCTCCGATAGGACATGATTTGGGTTCCGAGCCATCTCTGCTGATAACTAGCTGGTTGTGTGACCTTGGGCATATCATTCTTTTTCCTCTTCTCCTCCCACCCCCAAATCAGTTACTCTTCTATAAAATGGGGGGCAAGGAGATCTTTTTTTTAAAAAAAGTTTTATTGATGCCTTTTCTTTTTACGTAGAATTTGGTTCTAAATATGTACCTACCCATCCCATCCCTGCATTGTAGCAAAGAATAAAATTTTTTTTAAAAAACCCCACCACTAATACATTGGCTATATCCGGTGATTGGCTATATTCTGTCCCTGTAGTCCCTTTCAGAAGAGGCAGATATATTTCATTGTCTGTTGTTGTTTCCAGGAACAAGATTGGGTATTGCAGTTCCTCATAGTATGATTTTCTTTTAGTATTCTTTTTACTATTGTCATCACTGTATACATAGTGTTCTTCTTATTGTGTTATTTCATTCTGTATTATTTTATATAAATCTTCCTGTTTCTTTAAATTCCTTACACCTGTCACGTCTTATTTAATGGACTATTATAATCGTATACTGTGCATTTATTTCCTATACGTGTATGTGTGTAATGTAAATGTATGTGTGTATTTGTTGTCTCCTCTGATAGAATGTAAGCTCCTTGGGGGTAGAGATTTTCATATTTGTCTTTGCATTTCCTGCATCTGGCACAGTGAAGTGCTTAGCTCAAAGCAGGAGCTTAATGAATACTTGTGGAGTGATTGGTTCCTCAGTCAGTGGATGCTTGCTTTGTTTCTAGATCTTTGCCTGGAGAAGTGCTTTTATGCTTGTACATAATTGTTTGCATGTTGCTCTCCTATTGGACTGGGAGTTCCTTGAGAGAAGGGACCATTTTGGCTTTCTTCATATCCCTAGCACTTACCACGAGGGCTGGCATATAGCAGAGGCTTAGTAAATGCCTGTTGACTTCACTTGACTATGAATTTTCAGTCAGTCAGTAAACTTACTTAAATTTATTATTAAATTTATTATGTGGCTCCTATAGTGCCAGGCACTCTGCTAAGTGAAAGGCAAAAAACAGTCCCCATCCTCAAAAAGCTCATAATCTAATGGGACAGACAACATGCAAACAGTTATGACCAAGCTATATATAAGATGAATATAGTGATTTGTTTATGCTGCTCCATTGACATTATCTTCTCAGCTCCTTTGTGACCACTATTTTTATTTTTCTCAATTACATGTAAACAAAAATTCTCTCCATCCTTCCACTGTTTCCTCCTTTAGAAGT